ATGTCCCCCCCTTCCTTCTTCTTCCCCCAGCTTTATATACTGAGCATGACGTCCCATGGTATGGAATGTCCCTTTGGCCAGTTGGGGTCAGCTGTCCTGGCTGTGCCCCCTCCCAGCTTCTTGTGCCCCTCCAGCCTTCTCAGTCATTAGAGCATGTGAAGCTGAAAAGTCCTTGGCTAGTGTAAGCACTGCTTAGCAACAACTAAAACATCGGTGTGTTATCAACATTGTTCTCACCCTAAATCCAAAACACAGCACTGTACCAGCTACTAGAAAGGAAATTAACTCTATCCCTGCCGAAACCAGGACAATGTCTCAGTAGGGATGTAAGTGTCTCTGTTTAGGCATTCATCATAGAAAATGTTGGTGGCAGTAACCCAGAAGTTTTATTTTCTTTTTTGCTACAAAAGACGAGACACATGCATAAGTGTATTAAGCACGTGATGGAAACAGCTTCTTTCTGCTGGTTCCACCACTTTGACAGAAGCCACCAGGAGCTTTATCTTTTAAATAAGTCAGTTAGGAATGATATCAGACTGTTATTTCTGTCTCCAATTGGATAGCCACTTGTGTCAAGCAGTGATTAAACTGCATTTTTGATTTTTAGCTGTCATTGTATTCATGACGATACCTTAGAAGGCATAAGCTTGTACTGAGCATTAAACTTGATTTTTATAATTACGTACAAAAAATGAGTTTTCATATCACCAGTTATGAATTATTGTCATGAAAAAAGCCAAGGACTCATTTGAACTCTATGTCACAAATACCTAGGATTGGAAAAGGGTTTCTAATGAGTGGAATATTGTCAATAGCTGAGCCCCTTGCTTGGAAGGAGTGAGGTATAAGGTTCCTTGCACAGCTTTGCATAACGAGGTAGTCATTCCAGTGAGGGATACCGATGACATCTAGTGCTTGAGTAGTTTGGTAATTTCAGGAGAATACTGAATTGAAATCACTGCTTTAATTCATACTTGTTATGGGCTTACAGTACTTAATACAACATCTGATATAATAGAAAATAATGTTGCCATCCTAGCCTTTTTTTTTTCACTCCATCATTGAAACGTGTATTGTTTTCCCAAGAATCTGCTCTTTCCTCTGAATATTCTTTGTTTTCCAGCCTGTCTGGATAATCCTTTGGTTGATTTGATGCTTCTTGTCCCAGCCATAACAAAACTGTGTGAGGGTAACTACCAAGCAGATGTGGTGGCACGGCACAAATTCTCAAGTGGCTGAGGAGAGTGATTAGTGAGTTCTGGGTACCTTGCCCTTCTGCTGAGATATTACACCTCTGATTTTCTGGAAGGGATGAATATCCTTTTTTGGCAAAGCAGGATTTTGGAAGTGTTTTAGACTGGACACCCAAAATCAAGGAACCTGGTACTCCTAATCACTTCTGGAAATGCTGTTTGCTCTCATTTCAATTATGTGTTTCAACAATGATTTTCCAGACAATACCAGCTTTAGATCTAGGTAGGTCTATGTTCAGAAACGTGATTTGTTCCGTGTTAAAGAAGTGTGTGATGTCAAACAGAGATTTATAAAGACTAATTCTGTAAAGGCCATTATGAATAGTATGGTGACAAAATTCTTAGTCTTTATTCATCCATTATATAAAATATTTAGAAATAGAGAGGTTATAGCCTTGAGGTTTTGCACAAAGTAGCCTGGGTTAAGTATCAAACCTCAAAGATAGTTGAATTCATCACTAAAATGCAGCATCGCTGTGGGGACTGAGAGTCTATGACAGTGATCAGACTGGTCCCTTTCCCCATTTTGAATCTTTCAATGCAGGAGCAATAATTCACTGTTCTGTAAATTACTTTGGTGAATGTAGCCCATTTTTTCATTTGCAACATCCAAACATAGTCACATCCCAAGAGCTTAATATTCAATATGTTTTCGTGACCGTCTTCAGTTGCTAATTCTGTAGATAAATGGGAAATTATTTGGTTTTAGTACTTAATAGCTGAAAGTCCTACCTTTAATGCTCTTATAATTTTGCTCATTGTGAAGCTGATCAGAGTTATATAAATAAGTTTGCTGTAATAAAAATAGGTCAATGCTGAAATCTTTTTTGGGAAAAGAAACAAAGCTTTCAGAATTCAAGCCAGTTTGGCTAGTTGTTGTTGGGTGTAGATATTGTGGCACTGATCATAACAGTATGCCATGGCTTTAGTAAGGAGGAGATCTTGAAACAGCAAGAGGTGACTTAAATGTTTTAAGACAAAGTGCCATATCAGCTGTCATTCCTCAGCTTCCCTTTCCTATGACATTCCTTTGAAAAACAGAACGCCACACAGCATTTGTGAAATAAACCCAATTCCTGCATGAAACCTTCACTTGCTAACTTGCCATGCCTTGTTAATAGATTTTTTCCCCACAAAATATGTAACATCTGTTGCAAGAATATGAGCTGCTTGTTTAAAGTCTCCATTGTGGGTTTGGCATCGGCAGCACAGCTCAGGCACGGCTCTGCCATCCTCCTCTTAGAAACAGACCTTGACATACAGTGTGACTTAGAGGGCCGTGACATACATCATTGTCCCTTCTCTCTGCTGGGTTATTGTTTCTTGTACCAGCCGTATTTTTGCATCTCTTGAGGCAACTTCAGGGAATAAAGTTTCTGAGAGTCAAGCTGCACAGGGAAAAGACAGAGGTGTTATAGCTCTGCTGTGCCACTTCTGTCACATGTATACAGGGGGGAAATTCAGGGGAGAGGCTCTTCCCTTCCTCATTAATTTGGCGTGGGAAGCCAGTACAGGAACGTAAGGATGTATGTTCCCTTCCAGCTCTGTAGAGGGAGAGGGACAGAAGACAAGCCACAACCTAAACTTTAAATTTTTAAAAATGGATAAAACCTAAAAAAAGGTAGTTTAAAAATATGCATCCTAAGTCATTTGCAAGATGAAAACATAATGTGAAATTTTAACCAATATTCCTAAAATATTATTCTGCAATGTTTGTCCAACTCAACTATTCTGTTCACACCATGATGCCAGAGGCTCATGATACTCCTGTACATCCTATGTCTTGCTATAAAACAGATAAAAAACTCTGTAGTTCTTCTTATAAGAGGAATATACTTTTCCACAAACTTTCTGAAATACTCAGAACAAGGATGAGTACAGCAGTTTACTAACATGACACAAGAGCACAACGGTCGCAACAGGGAATACCAGCAGGTAGCAGGTCTTTTGTTTGTCCTGTGGCATGATATCGTGTGTCACAACTCTATGTGCTACACAGAAAAATCATGTCTCTTCTGTCAGACAGACAGTATTGGCTATGCTACGAGACAAAATGCATGTAAAATAGATGTATTGCTCACTAATGTTGAATGTCTCAGGTTTTAATGAAAATAAGGTGTGCTTCTTCTGAACAAACTGCTCGAGTTGTATAAAAAGCTTGAAAGCAAGACAAAATCTGCAGTTAGTAGAATCAGTGATATAAAACTGACTTAAAGTTTTATTTTTAATTTCTACTTTGCATTATGTCTTTACTGAAAAAGTGGTTAAACATTGGACCAGGCTGCCCAGGGAAGTGGTGGAGTCCCCATCCCTGGAGGTATTTAAAAGACGTGTAGATGAGGCACTTAGGGACATGGTTTAGTGGGCATGGTGGTGTTGGGTTGACGGTTGGACTCGATGATCTTAGAGGTCTTTTCCAACCTTAATGATTCTATGATTCTATGATTAAAACTGGGCCTCACTATGTGATGTAGCCATTTAAACTAATCAGAGGATACACCCAGATGCTTCTGCTTTTTATTCTTATTTTTTAAACACATTGTCTTGGATAAGGAATGCAATTTATTATCACAGAACTGCCTTTGACTGATGCTGTGTTGTTATCCATTTATATTTACATGAATAGTAATGGTACAACACTATTATACGATAGTACAATACTGAAGTTAACATATACTGTGTAATTTATTGGGTTTATGTAATATCGTAACTACGTTCCTCAAGCATGACAACACATATGAGAGAAGCCATTAGACCTCAGGATTTTCAATCAAAAAGATTTTTCTTTCACAGAGTCTGTGTTTTGCTTAGAAAATATCATGTTTTTTTCTAAATGTTGTGCTATGATTGATATAATTTCATGTGGAAAAACTCAAAACACTGAGAATTAGATTGATAACATTATCATTTACTGTTTTACCTTCTGCTCTGAAATTAACTTCGGGTTTTATAGTTAGTATATTTAGCAGAACAATTAGCATCTAAGTCACTGAACTGTGTGTATGTATATATTTTTTTAAAAGAATAAGAAAGATAAGGGGGAATTATTCTCTTCATTGCCTGCTCTTAAGGAAGAATGAAACCTGATTTTAAACAAGAGAGATTGTAGGATTGAGCCCTTTTTTGAAGACATGAGCATCACTGAAGTCAAAATGCTTTAGACACATGTAAAACTATCTGATTGCTATTTCTATTTTGGCGTTAGCTAAACTGCTAGAGACAATAAGAATAAGAGAAACTTGTATTTCTTTAACAAATGCTTTTCTTTATTCTTCCTTGGTCATACAGTCATTCCCAGCACAGCACTGCAACGCGTCCACCCACAGTGAGCTTGCAGCGGACCATTTCTGTGGAAGGGTAAGATGATTCTCTGTTGAAGCTGCCTGTAGAGCTCTCAGATACCACTAAGCCAGACACTGAACTACCCACATACACATAGCTGTTAACTAGAAGTGGTTTTGCATACCGCAGTGTTTAAGTTTGTGAAATGCAGAAATAAATACTTTCAAATTAGTAGTGATCCTTTTTAGATAGTTAAACTGAAAGGTTTGGTTTTCATGGAGATGAGAATATCTGTCGTGGAGATACATTAACTACAATCTCTTCAATTCATTTCACTTGACTCTTGTTAATATTTACATATGTTAGCTATAAAATGGTTCCCACTAATCATAGAAATACCCAGTGAAGTCTTACTCTATTTTCTTAATGCATGCATGAGTTCTTTTTGACAAAGCAGTGTCCCAAA